TGTTTTGGGTGTTAGTGGGTGTTCTCGTATTTTACAAATATGCCCGATTTCTTCAGGAACAAACATGAAGTTCCTGTGGAGAAACGCCGATTTATTCAGCAGAAAACATGCAGTCCTTGTGGAGTAATCAACAGATCTTCAGGAACAAACATGAAGCAACCTAGTTTCCCCAACCCCGATTTCTTGTCGAAGAAACATAAAGTTCCTGCGCAGAAACGCCGATTTCTTCAGGACACAACATCAAGTTTTTGTTGAGAAACATCGATTTCTTCTTTAAAAAACCTGCTGTTCTTGCTGATAAACACCGATTTCTTCCGAAACACAGAATGAAGTTCTTGTGGAGTAAGCTCGATTTCTTCAGGAAGAAACATGAAGTTTCAGCGGAGAAAGCCAGATTTGTTCAAGAAAAGCGTGAAGTCGTTCTGCAGAAACCCGAATTTCTTCAGGAAAAAACATGAAGTTATTGTAATGAAACGCCCATTTGTTCAGAAAACCACATGAAGTTCTGGTGGAGTAACCCCAATTTATTGAGAAATAATACTTTTGTGAAGAAACGCTGATTTGCTGTTCTTGTCCCGATTTCTTGAGAAATAACATGAAGTTCTTGCGGAGTAACCCCGATTTCCCGGGAAATAACATCAATTTCTTGTGGAGAAACACCCATTGGCTTACGAAAAAAAGTTTTTCTGGAGAAACAATGATTTCTTCGGGAAACAACAGAAAAATCTCATGGAGAAATGCAGATTTTTTCCGGAAAAAGCCTGAAGTTACTGTGGAGTAACCTCGATTTCTTTAGGAAACAACATCAGGTTCGTATAGAGAAACGCAGATTCGTTCCGGAAGAAACATGAAGTTATTGTGGAGTGCCCCCGATTTCTTCACGAAAAAATCTGAAGGTCTTGCGGAGAAACACCGATTTCTTCGGGAAACAACATCCAGTTCTTTTGGAGAAACCGAGATTTGTTCATGAATAAACGGGATGTTCTTGTGGAGTAACTCCGATTTGTTCAGGAACAAACATGAAGTGGTTGTGGGAAAACCCCGATTTCTTCAGGAAACAACCCGAACAGCTTGTGGGGACCCGCACATTTGTTCAGGTATGAACGTGAAGTTCTCCTGCAGTAACCCCGATTTCTTGAGAAATAACATCAGGTTCTTGTGGAGAACCACGACTTGTTCAGGAAAAAACATGAATTGGTTGTGGAGAAACCCCAATTTCTTTAGGAAACAACAGGAAGTTACTGTGCAGAAGCGCAGATTTGCTCGAAAAAAAACATGAAGTTCATGTAATGTAACGTCGATTTGTTCATCAAAGCACATGAGGTTCTTGTGGAGTAACCCCGGTAGAAATCGCTGTTCCTCCACAAGAACTCCAGGTTTTCTCCTGAAAAAATCGGTGTTTCTCCATAAGAGCTCAAGGTTTTTTCCTGTAGAGAACGGTATTTCGCCACAAGAGCTGCAGGTTGTTTTCTAAAGAATTCGGTGTTTCTCCTCAAAAGCTCCAGCTTTTTTCCTGAAGAAATCGGTGTTTTTCCACAAGAATTCGAGGTTTTTTCCTGTGAAAAACAGTGTTTCTCCATAAGAGCTCCAGGTTTTTCCCCCACAAGAGTTTCATGTTTTTTTCTGAACGAATCGACGTTTCTTTATATTAAAGAGAAGAACAAGACAAAATGAAGAAAACGAGCAAAGAAAGAAGAGAACGGCGCAATAAAGGTAACTAACAATAAAATGCTGGAAATTCTGAGATTCTGGAAATTCTGAAATTCTGAGGTTCTTGTGGAGAAACGCAGACTTGTTCGTGAATAAACCTGAAGCTCTCGTCAGGATAATACAAGCGTTAGTTGTGGATCGTTTTAAGGTAAACAAATGGTGTATTGCTTACATGGCAATACTAATTGAATATCCAACACCATTTTTAAGAGAATATTTTTGAAAAAATTACGAAAATAAATTATCCAAAACAACGTATAGGTTTACTGGTTCATAATTAGGTAGTTTTTATTGTAGAAAAAATTGTATTTCTAGATTTTGGTAAATTCGTTTGTTTACTTAGGTTGACTATAAAAACTTGACGAAACAATTTTCGACCAAAGCCAAAGAAGAGTACAAGTGTATTAAACATTTGAATGTTAATGACGATGAATAGGTAAGATGATTTTGAAAGTTAATCATATTTACTGGCATGCATTTTCTTATTTATAGAACAGTCATCGCTCCACTGTTAACTCGTTTCGGTAAGACATGGGGAAATTTTTGGGATGATTTCACAGACGATGGCTTTTATAAGCGTTCACAAGATTATTAGTTAATAATGAATCATGAAAAACATGTACGAAAAGTTTTTCTTTTACTCGTGTACCCAGGTTAATGAATCTTACAGTCGGATCCTAATTGGATCTTATAGGAACCTATTGCAGGATCTTATGGAATCGGATATGATCCTAGGAAAATCCCACAGGATCATATAGGAAATAGATAGGCAATCTTAGTGATGGAAATGTTGTAGGATGCCTACAACTAGAGCCTATCAGATCCTAGGGTAGGATCCAACATGATCTGATCAGATCCTGCGTGGGACTGGGCTGATCTCGTACGATTTTTACAGGATTTCATAGGATGTATCTGTGTATACAGTCGTAACTGTATGTTTATTTCTATTTTTGTATTTCCCAACTGATTTTTTTCAAGTAGGCCATTACACCTATGGTTACCCATTAACATGTAAATTTGGCTGACTAAGTCATACAGATTTTCTGTGTATATGACTCATTACCGAGTTCACACTTCGATAGATCACTGGAAAAGAATGTTTGTTTTATCTGCTGGATACTAATATACATTGCGTCACACAAAATAAAACAGTGAATGAATACAGACTGTATCTAAGCGACATCGTCGCATATGTGATAAGAGATAAACTGATAGCCATAGGATGTCGTATGATTTCATAAGATCTTACAATAGGAATCGTACTATTTCCTGCGCTTTGTAGGATCTTATAGGATCAGACAAGATCCTAATAGGATATTTCAACCTAGGTAATAACTAAATCCTTTGCTTCTCTTGATCGTGATCTCGTCCATGTTTTACATATTGCTCATTGTTATTTGATTAATAGAACATTACTGCAATGTTTACTCCTCGATATGATGATCCTGTCTTCGATCCAGATGTCAAATTTAGTATGTCTATGCTAGATTCGGTAAGCAACTAAAAGTTTTTTTTGGTATATATACTTTTATTAACTAAGGACGATGTTTTTCATATTTAGGCCCATTTTTGTTTATGTAACAAATGAACTTAATTACGGTCATTTGATTGATCCAGAAAAATCTTAATATTTCATTAGTTCATCCCGAAATATATGAAATATTTAATAATGTGAAGACAAATTGAAGCAAAAGTTATTCTTACTTTAAATAATTTCCATCTAGTAGATTTACACAATTTTTGTTTGTTTGTTTTAGGATTGGAAAGCACATTATATACATCCAGATTACTATAAACTACTCGAACCAAATGCAACAGTTGAACAGGTTAACAGCAAATACATTTGTTGTGCAATAAATCAATTTAAAAGCTTCGTTATATATAAGATTATAAATAAATTTTTTATATTTTCACCCATGTCTTGATGTTTATTGGTTTTCAGTAGTTATTAAGGAACCACTCAATATTTAACAGACATAGTGGAGGCATTTGGCGACTGGTCAGGTAGTTCACATATCGTATGTACTATGAATGAGCGTATATTTGACATCTATCATTGAAATAAATTTCATTTTGCAGGATAAATGGTTAGCCGGAGGTTATGAAAATGTTCCAACAGACGATATTCATATGACCTAAGTTCGTTTTGATGAGCATTGGCTTTTTATCCTACGTGATCGTGGATTTTATCCTACGCTTTTTATCCAATACAACGAAAAGTTTTTACTGGCTGTTATAACGCCGTATGTTGATGTAATGAGACTCCAGTATCGTTACTCTTTATCGATTCTTTTATTTCTTTTAGCCTCCTAAAGCTGCATTAAATTTCGTCGATTATATGTCAGAATATCAAAGTAAATTGAGACATCATCACGATGCATCGACATACACAATTAATATTACTTCAAATGATGTTGGAAAAGATTATGAGGTTAGATTATATATCTAATTGATGTTGATTTACAGGGTGGCGGTTGTCGTTTTCTATGTTCGTTGTCTGACGAAACGTGGCTGGACACTAATGCATCCGGGCCGTTTGACTCATTTACATGAAGGTTTACCAACGAGAAAGGGAAAAAGATGGTGATGGTTTCATTTGTTGATCCTTAAATTCAGTTCTTTTGAATGTTATATATTTCATTTTTTATGGTACTATTGCAACTCCTTTGTTTTGAAAGGTGCTATTTTTTGTAAGTCATTTTCATTTTACTCACAACGTATTTTTTGATAGTCAAAAACATTTTCGCATCTTTTTTTCTTATGCCAGTCAGGTTTTTTCTAGTTATCGTTTTCCTATTCCTCAATGGTCATTTGCTGTGTAAGCATTCTATCTACTGACCTTTTTCTGACATACAAAAGAAAGACACAACTTTTTTTCTTTTTAAAATGTTCAGTATTTTATTGATTATTTATGCAATCTATTTAATAGACATTGTTAATGAATATTTTGCTTTTTTATTTGTTAGAATATTCAATTGAAACGCTTTGTAATTTTTTTTATACGAGATTTTTAAAAAAATATTTATCTTATTTCCCTCATCTGTATTATTAGTAGACATGATCAAAAGTATGGTTTTATCACACGTATGATATTTTTCTTACTTTTTGTGAAACTCCTCCCATCTTACAAAGAAGAGGAGTTTCAGTTTATACTCAAAAATCAGGCGAATACTAGTTAGTTTGGACCCCCTTCCTCCCCCTGCTTACACGCTCTTAAAAAGTACCCTTACGCGACCTTAAAATGGCTTTTACGCGATCTGAAACTGGGTTTACGCAATCTGAAAAGGAATAGACGACGTAGCCTTTACGCGACCTTAAAAATACCTTTATGCCAACTGAAAAGCGGATTTACGCGCTCTTAAATGAATTTTGCGCGATCTTAAAATAACCTTTACGCAATCTGAATTTGCGGGTTTTGTAGCAAAAGTTATAGTTATTTGTGACTCTATAGCTACATTGAAAAAATATACTGTATTTAAGGTAAATTAAATTTCATATTCTAGCAAAATGCAACTTTTTCCCCATAGTCTGGATGCGGTCCTTCGATAGTCTTTTTACTGCTATATAAAGTAAAGTACTTCCTACTACTATGGAACCACCGTTAGGGAGTTTCACATTTTAGCACCGCTTGGTGCTACCCTAACAAAGTTTTCAAACGATATATCAAACGGTTAATTTAATTTCTTATTTATTTATTTTATTCATTTTATAAAGTAATCAATTATCTATTTATTTTAGTAAAGTCAAAGTACGTGACTCATTTTGCAGTCAAGTATATAAACAATGTAAAAATGCTGAATATAGTGGAAACATCATAGATAAATATCATTTAAATGTAAAATTTAATTGTTATTTTTAATACAATGTTCTTTCTTCACTATAGGTTTACGATGTAAATCTGGTATAGAATTTTGTGAAGCTCAAAATTTTCATCTAACAACTTCGGATTGTTTTGATTTTGATAAAAACGTTTTTTCGAAAACAATATCATTATTAAATTATTTTTTTGAAGATATTATTTTCATTCTACAAATATTAATCAATATTGTGCAATAATATTTCCAATTTTAAGCAGTCAATTATTTTTCTAGTCATTTATTGTCTTATGGGTACTACAGTGTAATTTAGTATGTCGTCTTATTTTTGAACAGTAATAATTGAGAGGTTTCTTTGTCAGATATTTTTAATATATTGCAAATTTTCGATTTTTTTTTTCTTGAATAAAATAAACGATAACACAAATGGCAATACACGGTTTCTTTTTTATTTCAGTAGAGAAATATATCAAAGGATTTGATTGATCGATGGCATAGAATCTCGATTATCAAATGGAAAAGTTGTTATTGACACATTGAATTTGTACGTCCATATTGAAAAATGCTCATGTACAATCATTTCCAAATCAAAGGAAGATAATGAATTTTTTGTATTTTAGAAGGTATACATAAATATTTTCAAAATGTAACCTAGCAGTTTTCTTAGTCATCCTTTGTTTGCATTGTAATATGATACGCTGCTTTATTTTCTGTTTCTGATATTTTATTCAATTATAAACATCCTTGTAAAACAATGTTATATGAAATAAATTTGATCGTTTAAAAAATAAATCTGTTTGATTTCTTTATCATTAGTGCCTAATATACTGTATGGATTATAATTATCCTCTTCTTTATCAAGTAAGTTTTCTTTACATTGTAATCAACCAGATGTTGATGACCATACTCGAGCCAAATAATTACTTAAATAATTGAGAGTATGCTAGAATAAGCAAAAATGTACGTTCATCAAGAAAATTACATATACAATTAATATGATACGAACTTTCGATGGACCGGTTCCATGTATAACAGTAGCACTCGGATCTCTACTAGTATTATGTACAAAAACATCATCACTTTTAACCGCTGATTTCTGTTACTGCACCGTTTAAATTCAAAAATATCTCGGCATTTGACTCAAGTACTATTGAACATTTTGTCTAAAATGGTAAAAAAAGAAGTTATCTTCTCCACCTCTCACTCTCTGATATTGCTATGTGCTTGCTAAAATTAATTAATTTTTGTCGAATAATTCTACTTGAAAAGATGAAGAAAAGCAAATTTTAAATGCAAGAAAAGTACAATGGCTTCTTCGTACACTAAGAGAATAACTTAACTGAGCCTATATATAAACGCAAAACAATTGTCCTTTTCTTTTTGTGTTTTGTTTAAAGTGAGTTTCATAGATAAAACACGTGGCCCTTGTATACATAGAGAGTATATGGAAAAACCTCTGTTCAACCGGTCATAACCAAACTACTGTTCGATCGAATTAAATAGTTTTTTCACCTTCAGATTCGTAAGACTCTCTTACATAGAAATGAAAAAACCTAAGACTTCCACGATGAAGCTGTGCAAAATTAAACGGGAAGTTTATGATGAAATGGCCATGGGTTGCCGTTGCTGCGACGTTTCTTTTCGGCAGTTTTTCCTTGCCTTAAACATATTGCAACAAACAATGAAAGTGATTCTTCAAAAGTTTCTAATGCATACCAGTTTGTCCAGAAATGATTACTCTACTACTGTCCATCCAGAAAAAGAATGATACATGGATGTTTTTTGCAATAACTTTTGAATGATGAAAGTTAGAGAGCTGGGATTTTCAGTAATCGAAAGAGGAGACTTTGACCTGTCTTTTTATAAGCAGAAGTGATTTTTGAAAAAAATTCTCAATCCGACTTTTCAGAGGATTTCTGGAAGACCAGTTTATAGTTCAAAAGTTTTACAAAAAACCCATCGATTTTTTTCCATAGATAGATAGTCTAAAGGGTTCTCTTCAAAATGAGATCTAAGGAAAAGTTTCACTTTGCTGCGTTTGGCAGCTACAGACGTTTTTCCCGAAGCCCTGAGACTTCTCTATTCTTCTGTCTGGGATCTTCAGAGGAGCATGAAAACATAGGTTATCAACCACGCTGAATCTCGTGGCAATATTAGTTTTTAGATTGAAATGTAAGAAGCGAGTGAAAACTTGTACAAGGTGAAATAACTCATTTCACAGGCATCGGCAGTGTCATTATAACAAACTGAAGAAGCATTATTTAAGAAAATTAATCTTATGTCGGTTGTAGAGAATTAAATTGGCTATTAAATGGCAAAAAGAAATTTTGTTATGTTTTATGCTAGCTAAGATATCTGAATTTTACAATGAAGACTATTGAGTTTGAAAAGGTTGTTATTGACGAATCTTTCAAAAATATGTAAGGTGTGCTCTTCCAATTTATGTCAGCTGAAGAAATTATTGTTTAAACCGCTAGGCTGTAGCTGGTACAAAACGAAAGGTCGCATTTTGCTGAGATTTTGGACTCGTTTTCTTAGCCATTCTTGATTTTCATTTTGAAGATCTTTGATCTTTGATTTACAACTATGTTAAACTATAAGAAATGTTGTCCTCTCAACTATATATAAATATATATAGCTATTTTCTCTCTATACTGGTCAAATATATACATTGATATGCTTGTAAGAAAGATTGAATACCAAACTGTGTTTAGAAAAAAAGCAAGCATAATATTATATTATATTCTTCTCTTGTCTCTGAGCGAAAAATTCAGCCGACGTAGCCTGTGAATTTTAAACAATTCTATAACATCAATTTAATTTTAGAAATTTCTTCTTTTTTTTTTTGTAAAGCAGAGGAGAGAAAGAAACAAAGACGTACAATGTGAATGTAGTCTGACTACATTGATCTCTCAGTAAAGCAAATACTATTTTTTTAACTGTCCTAATTAAATTTCAAGTTTGTATATCAGGATTTAGCACCGAAATTTTTCAGTTTTGAAAAGTCAGAAAAGGTGAAAACCATGTTATATTTGTTTTGAAAGTATGCTATGTATTAACCACTCGCGCTGATTTTAATCAGTAGTTATGCATGATTAATGAAACTCATTTCAAATTGAAAGTAAAAACTATTTCGTCACGCATATTCTGTTTAATCGTATATCATTCACAATACACAAAAGAATCTCTTAGTCATGGAAATTACGCAGATCAATCTCGTTCTTCAAAATAATGCAAGGAACTGTAAAAGACGACATTTATGCATTCAGATGCACAAATGGTATTTCGGTTTTTTGGTGGTATTTTTCGCAAATGGTATTTTTTTTACAATAACGAAGTATGTCAGAAGTAGGAAGGAGAGATTGTTTACCTAGGAATCTAGAAAACAGGGAAGAAAGTTAGATTATATGGTACAGAAAGCAGCGAATTGTTGGTTTTCATGGAAAGCTAAGCTTTTCTGTTGCGCGTCCGTGCAAGGTTTTTATATACTCTTTTTAATCCCATAAGTGGGTTTTGTGGAAATATTTATATGCCCCAACGGTAATCTAAGTCTTTCTGTATAAATATACAAGATAGCTGTCTTGTATTACATACCCATAAGTTCTAGATACACTCATGCTAGATCTGTGTCTTACTCCTACTGTGGTCTAATACCGTGGTAAACGCACTTGGCTTATTCGACTGCCCGATAACTGCACCGTAAAAAATGCAATGTGAGTGGTGAAATGTTATCGCGTGACTTACTCTCACGTTGGGTATTCCCTCTTGCTGTGACGAGTATCGTTAGGAGGATGAGAATTCCTAGAAGCGAAAAGGATGACAAAGCCCTCGGATCCTCTTTTGGATATGCGGTACAAGAGAGAAAACCCTATTTAATTACATGAAGAGTTCCAAGATTTCTTGATTCCTGCTTATTACCAGGAATTTCAAAACTTGGAAGATTGTCTTCCTGCTCGTGTAAACGTAAATTTGATGTGAGAAAAAGTCAGCCCATAATCGGATTAAAACAATTTGTTAAATTTTTTCAGCGCGCCAACCAGTCACGCTATTCCTTTATAGCTAGCAAAAAGTCCATTTCAGCTTTTAAACTGATTTAATTTCAACTCATTAACACTGCTGGGAAGGTTGAGTCTCTAGTTATGTTTCAGCATCGTTTTCTTCTTAAAATGATATGTCATCTTTCACTAAATGATGACGCATCGAGCAACATTTACCAACTGCTGGGAAAAACGCTTACAGTTTTATTATAAAAATGATACACATATAATATTTTATTCACTTTTTGCTCATCTTCCATTTGCTCATCAGTTTTTTGCTAAAAGTAATTTTGCCCAAAATTGTTGTGTTCATTTTCTTTTGCTAAAAGTCGTTTTGCTCAAATGTTTTTTGCTCATATTCGAGGTATTCATTGTGGACCGCCGACACTTTGCAGAGAAAACCCAAGGGGGAAAAAGCATACTTCCGTACTTCTTGTACTTCTCTGTACTTCTCCGTACTTCTCGTACTCTTCTCGTACTTCTTTCTTGAGAGAAGTACGGCGAAGTACCGCGAAGTACGGAGAAGTACAGGGAGGTACAGAGAAGTACGAGAAGTACGGAAGTATGCTTTTTCCCCCTTGAGAAAACCACAGAAAGTGGAATTTGTCCGCAAAATGCGGACCATCTGGCAACTCTGGTCATGACTTTTATTTCGTCTGGTAACCTTTTGAGTGCTTCCGCGTAATTAGAGTACACATGTTTTAGTTCACACCGCAGTATTCGTTTCTGATAGGCCGTCAAAGATGTTGCAATGGTCAAAAAGTAGGTGTTGGTGCTTCCCAGATTTCTCTGCTATTTAAAGTGATAAAATTCCCAGATTGGTCGTAAAATGTAGCCAAGAGTTGGCACTACAAGTTAACAGAGCAGGATTTTCGACTTTCGACTTAGTCTCTGAGAAAAATAAAAGTTCTCGAAAACTAGGTACTTTTTTCTGAGTTTTTCTGAAGTTTTAGGAAACTTTTTATTTTTCGCAGAGACTAAGTCGAAAATCGAAAACCCTGCTCTGTTAAGCTGTAGTGCCAACTTTTGGCACATTTACGACCAACCTGGGAATT